CCTTGCTGGACTGTGAAGAATGTGTGCCAAGGCAACGGCCATAGCTGTGGTCCTAAGTGAAGTGCCCAGTGCTGGAATATGGACTGTACCCTGTGGCCAAGGGGAAGCCTTGTGCCAAAGAAGTATGCCAAGCCAGATGTGGACCCGGGACTACAGAAGGTTTCTGCTCCTGCACCTCTGCATCCACCCAAGGACTGTGATACAGACCAACAGCCCTGACCCCCATGAACACAGATGGTAGCAGACCAGAAGAGAATCCATGTTCTGGCAGAGGACCAATGTTCCTGCACAGAAGCCATGAAGAGATCTCTTTTTCATCACGTATCACATTCCTCTCCCCCTCCTAAACCATTCTCAAACAGAGACTGTTGCCCAGCTTGAAACAAAAAGAAGTGATTAAGCCTTCCTGCCACTGAGAGGAAAAGCCAGTTTGGTGTAGTGGTTAAGTGTGCGGACTCTAATCTGGGAGAACCAGGTTTGATTCCCGACTCCTCCACTTACACCTGCTGATGTGATCTTGGGTCAGTCACAAGCTCTGGCACAGCTGTCCTTGAAAAAGAGCAGTTTCTGTCACAGCCCCACCCACCTCACACGGTGTCTGTGTTGGGGAGGGGAAGGGAAAGGAGTTTGTAAGCCGCTCTGAGACTCCAAGTGAAAAGCGGGGTATAAATCCAATCTCTCTCTCTCTCTCTCTGATCCAGATAATGCCTCTGACAAGTATCAGATTGTTAATATGAAGCACTAAATCCCTGCAGTGATTGGATCCCTCATCCCCTTCCTTTGTCTCACCCCTTTCCCCAAGAAGTGTCACTCCCTGCCGCACATCAACCCTCAATTTTATAGTGTTTTAAGAGTTTTATGATACACCAATTAGGTACATGGTACTGCTTTGTGGCTCAAGTGGTTAAGACGCTGAACTGCAGGCTGTGGAAGGTCAGTAGTTCAGCGGTTCAAGAACCGGGTGCCGCATGACGGAGTGAGCTCCCGTCTCTAGTTCCAGCTCCTGCCAACCTAGCAGTTCGAAAGCAAGAAATTGCAAGTAGATAAATAGGTACCGCTTCAGTGGGAAGGTAACAGTGTTCCGTGCGCCTTGGTGTTTAGTCATGCCGGCCACATGACCACGGAAACGTCTTCGGACAGCGCTGGCTCTTCGGCTTTGAAACGGAGATGAGCACCGCAACCCTGATTGGCTCAAGATCCATCCCCTCCCTCCTTTCTGCTCCCTTTTCGCTGCAAGATCTGTTCATCTCACCGGACAGGTAACATATCACCCCCAAACGATACTTCCAGATAATGCAAATGTCGCACATCTGCTTTTCCTAGTGCTGTATTGTGTGTGTGTGTGTGTGTTTGCTAATTGTATTGTATGGTTGAGAATTATTCAGTAAAAGACCAATTATTTTATCTCCTCATCTGTCCAACAGGCTCTGGGAATTCTGACTATGGTATACACAGGTTATGTCCCTATATTTTATGCCTATTGCCCTTTAATATTCATAATTCCCCCAAGCTATTAATAATATAAGGCAACTTGGCTAACACCTGTCACCCTTAAAGAAGCTTTGGTCAGTCTTTGACAGTAATTTCCTTGAACCTTAAACTGACTTTTTATGTTTTTTAAAAATCCAGTCATTGGAATGGCTATTTTAAGGGGAAGATGAACTGTTGGAGACTATGGAGCTCTCTCTCTTTCCTCTAAAACCACTGGTGTCAAATATGCAGTCTGTGAGCTGGAACTGGCCTGTCCACGACTCTTATCTGGCCCACAAGCAAGGGGTCATTACCTTTATTGCCAGATGACAGAGGCTGTGCATTATGTCCCTGTCTACTGTCCCAGTGCTAATGAGTAATGGGCGGTGGAAGTTGGAGGGTGGGCATCAGAGAGAGACTATAAGGAAATACAGTAAGAGTGTTAATGTTTTAAGCATGTTTGTATTTGGAGTTTTTTAAACAAATCATGAATTGGGTTCATCTGTGTCCTTTATAAAATTTATATCTCCAGTACCTGGCAGTACATTTTATACCACACGTGGCCCAGCCCGACAAAGTGACATTTATGTCAGATCCGGCCATTGTAACAAACGGGTTTGACTCCTCTTTCTTAAACCTGTCTTTTGTTTCAAGCTTTTATTACTGAGGTTTTTATTAGACTATCTACCTGACAAAAGGACCAGTAAGGTGTCTGCATAACTGTGGATATGCCCTCAGTGGGCCTCCAGGATCTCGAAATCATAGAATCATAGAATGTTAGAGTTGGAAGGGACCTTGCAGGTCATCTTGTCCAACCCCCTGCACTCTGCAGGAGCATAGCTGAAAGATAGCCCTACATACCTACAACATACCCAAAAGATGGTTGTCCAGCCTCCGCTTGAAAATGTCCAGCGAAGGAGCATCCACCACCTCCCGAGGCAGACTGTTCCACTGCTCAACCACTCTTACAGTTAGGAAGTTTCTCCTGATATTTAGCCGGTAACGACTCCCTTGTAATTTCCACCCATTAGATCTAGTCTTGCAATCCAGAGCAACTGACCATCATGAAAGAGGAGCTTCCCTCCAAGCTGGAGTAAGGGGGCAGGGGTATGTCGACATGAAAAGAAATGGCAATTAAAGTACCAGAAGGGACACAGAGAGATGTGGAAAGAGTCTCCTGCTAGCCTGTGCGAGTGCCTCTTTGTCTCCATCTTGTCCTAACATAGCATTCAAGGGCATCATAGCATCCATCATAGGACCTATTTGCTTCTTCCCTAAAGCATCCCTTTCCCAAAGGAAATAGCCAGCCCTGGCTTTTCTCCACTTCATGTGGAGTAGGAGGTGTTTCAGAAGAATCCAGCAGTTATTTTTGTTTTTGCTGGGAGCACCTGTTCAGAAACAGCTGCCTTCATCTCTGGAGGATTTGGTTTGTAACCTCCTGGCATTTTCCCAACCACCCCCCCCCGGCAGCCATTTTGTGATTTCTTCCACAGCAGCCATTTTGTGGTGGTGCCCATGCCCCTTCCTCAAAATTACCAAAGTGCCCATAGGTTCAGTGAACTTGGAGACCCCTGCTATAGTCAAACATTACACCTCACTTGGTGGCAAGCTTTGGGTGGTCCCAAGAGCAAAGAGAAGACTTTTCATTTCAAAAACAACTTTTATTATTATTTTTTTTTTAAAAAAAACATAGCAGCAGGGAAGTGCAAAAAGCACCACACAAGGGACAAGCAAACTAGGAGGAGAACAGAACAGAACAACAAACAATTTCCTACCCCCACCCCTCCCAGAGTTCATTCAGGATCTCCTGAGCCACTCATTCATCAATTGTTGCGGATAGTTTCTTGGATCCAATTCACATATTTGCAGACATTAACATAGACTCCAGGTTTATTTGGTTGTGCACATACTTGGGGACCCCAGGAGACAATCCCTTGCAGTTTCCCGTTGCAGACAAGGGGTCCACCCGAGTCACCCTGCAAGAAAGGAAAAAGACAATAACACTTCATGAGTTCTGCATATCCACTCCTGCATTATGGTCCATTGGTCAAGGTAACAGTCAACTGAGAGGTGTTCATGGAAATGTACAGGAAGTGCCCCACAAAATTCCCTGCTGGGTTGTGCTTTGATCTCTAAGGGACCTTCTTTTGGTCCTCCCTCTGCCTTCAGAAATATCCCTAGAGGAGACTATGACTCACCTGACAAGAATCTGTACCACCTTGCATCCTTCCAGCGCATACCATGTTTTCAGTGAAGTAACTAGGGTAGATGGACTGGCAAACCTGATGGTCGATGATGGAGATTTTTGCACAGTGCAAGTCATTGGGAAAATTCACTGCAAAGAAACACATGGGTCAGAGAAGAAGCTTTCTTAGTGGGAGAGCAGGCCATTGCAACTGACTCATTTGCTCAGCAATGACCGCCTTTGTCTCTTTTGTGGTCCATAATAGATAGGATCCTTAGTCGTGCCAAACAATATGGATCTTTGAGGCTTAGACAAAGATGATGGAGGTAGATAGCAGAGGTTCATAAAATTGTGCGTGTGGTAGAGAAAGTGGATCATCAGACAGAGAACCTGCTTTGTTACACATAACATCTCAGGTCCAGCCCCTGGCACCTCCAATAATCGAGTCCTAGGGGGAAAGACCTTTCTCTGCCTGAGATGATAAGAGAGCTGCTGCCAGGCTGGGTGGACAGACACTAAGCTAGATGAAAGAATGGTCTGAAACAATACAAGGCAAACAACAAGAGAAAGTTTTTTCCTTCCTTTCTTCCAGTAGGCTACCAAACAGAAACTGATCAGCAGTAGATTCAGGACAGGCTGTGGAAGCCATGTTCTGTCACTAATTTCTGGAATTTCCAGCCATGAGGTGTAGTAATGAACACTGGCTTAGAGGCTTTAAAAGAGCTGTAGACAAATTAAGCATCTTACTGTTGTCCGAATTGATTTCCAGTTCTGTATTCCCAGGCTTACTACATTGTTTTTAGAGGCCTTTGCTCTCTGGCTGAATTGCTTTTTTATTTTATTTTTTTAAATTGGCCTTGAGTCCCGGGGGAATAGCAGACTGTTATGTATTGAGGCTAAGCCTCTCCTCTAGCTGTAACTAGAATGGGCTGAGCTTGCTTCTCTAAGACAATAACTTGCCTGGATCCAGGTGCTAACCTATAGATAAGCAGTGTAATGTAAATAGCCTATCACTGGGAGTGGGTGTGTGTTGGGTGTGGTGTAAACTGGCTGAGCTTGTTCCATCAGAACAATAGCTGGCCAGGATCCTGGAATGGACCTATAGTGTAGTATAGTTGTAATGTAAATAGCCAATTGTTGGTGGTGGGGTGGGCTGGGGTGTGGTCTTTGCATGTTTTATACACAGGGCAGCAAGGCCAGGTTTTCAGTGCTGTAGTTTGCTGAAATCACTGAATAAACTAGAGCTGATCACTGCAAGGCAGTATTTTACACAG